GCGGGCGGTTCCCGCGCTCCCACAGCGCCACCTAGTGGCCGCGCGGCAGGGCAGGCGGCGGCCGCCCCCCCCCACCCCCGGTTCCCCCCAGGGCCTGGCGCGGCGGTCCGGGCTGGGCTGCTGCCCGTGAGGGTCTTGATGCTGCTTATAAACCTTAACGTCCGTTTTTTTAACTGCGCAATACGTTAACCTGCACCGATGTCGTCTCCCTCGAAGCCCGGAGGTTTGTAGCAGCGCGTGTTTCAGCAGAAGCAAAGCCCTTTGGGTGGTTGCGGATAACGCGCTTCCTGCCAAAAGCGTTTGGGAAGCCAGGACGTTCAGTTGGACGGATAAAAGACAAGCTAATGTGTTTACATGCAGGTCACAGTGTACGCGCATTAACACTCACGCATAAGGCATTCATTAAGAAATGCTAAAGCATTTCCCTTTGTATGTACTTTAGCACATGTGGATGAAAATTAGATTTATAAACTAGAAGGAAACTACAAATTAAGAGGAATATTGTGTTAGCCCCAGAGAGCGTGTTAAATCCCTCACAGCCCAAGCCTGGAGTAAACGGAGTCCAAAGAGAAGTTCAGCGCTTTGGTTCCCACCCTTTCCCCGAAGTAAAATGACCGTGCTTCGTTCAGACTCACTAAAGAGAACAAGGTAAACATCCAGCCTTGTGCCACCCACAGTCTCCAGGATTTTAAAGGATTATGTATTCACATTCTCTCCTGTGAATGAGGAAATTCAGAAAGAAATTGCCATGGAGAAATACAGTTTACAAAACTAGTTAAAAACTCGTTTCTGCAACTTGTGAACAGCCAGCTAGGTGCAGTGGACTAATAGCCATACCTGAGCTCAAAACTCATTTCATCTTTGCTCTGCCACACAGCACGAGGGTAGAATCAGACAGACAACTTGCATTACACATAAAATGCACTCCTCTCAAGGTTATCGCCGTTTCTTAAGAAAATTACCTCTGTCCAGTCTGGAAAAGGAATCAATGCTCTCTTCTTCCAGGCTGTAACATTTTCAGTGTGAATTTATAGTGGGTAGAGGGTAAATTGAAAGTCCAGGATTACAAATTTCTACTTCCAGAAAGAATAGCACAGATATTTTCCCCATGGACAGTTTCACCCCCTTGTCACTGCACCAACTGATGCCCAGAAGGAGATGGGCATAGGATATTTCACCTAGTATATCAAACATGTACCACGTCCAAGTAACTTTTTCTCACAACAGCAAACCCTGAGTGAGATTTGAACAAGCAGTGGGAACAGCAAGAAACAAAACAGCTCCAGCCACATCTTTAGCATATGAACAATTTGAAGATAGCACAGCCTTCTTAGTAAGAAAAACTAAAAGAGAAAATTCCTCAAGAAGAATTTGTTGCCGCAGAGGCAGCATTAAACCAGCTTGAATGAGCTTGTCTGCTTTCAGTTTCAATATACATGGTAAGATTTTGGTATACATTCTAAGATTACCTTCTGCCCTCAGTCAAAGAACTGTAGGAAACCCCTTACGTGTTAGATAAAACCATATTTCAAGGAAGAGTCAAATGCTACATATTTTGGATTAGAGTGATAACCACACTGAATAGCAGTATATAGCAGGCAGGCAAGAAATTCTACCTCCAGAGGAAGAGGACGGACACCTCTGAGCATTACAGCCAAGAACAGGCAAAAGAAATCCCACTAGCCTTGGACAATATAAGAGGTGGCGATAACCTCGAGGGATGACATTGTTAACATGATGTTCTCTATACATAAGAGGAGATGTATAACAAACAGCTGAGACCTGGTTTTTGTGAGAGTCTGTCTCACAGTTTAGGCAAGAAGTACAATAAGAAGGCAATACCACCATCTTCACAACTTTTACATGCAGGATTAAAGGAAAACTAGTGCTCACAGAACCCTCCATACAGCTAAAACATGCCAGTGTTTATTCTGAGTCAAAGAAAATCTCTTTTTACAGAGTCTTACTTCATGATTATTCCAGTTACCTGAGGAAAAAAGGCATCTGTAAATGCACAAGTATATTTAGAAGCCGCTGATCAGTCTGCACTACATGTAGCAGAGAGGTTAGACGCCAGAGAGACTCTGATCTCTGACGAGTCTACTGAAAATTGGCAGCAGGCTTTAATGCCCCCACTGAGGGAAAAGCAAGAAGTCAGCTGTTATCCAGCAGCAGCTGCCTGGCCAAAAGCACACATGTACTGGCCAGCCGATCACCCCGCACGCTGCTCTGCCCAGGCAGCGGGTCAGAGAGGGAGCCTGAGAAATGAGGGGGTGGGAGGGCGAGGAGAGCTGGGACAGGAGAGGGATCACAGGGTGCTGCGAAAAAGCGTAGCAGACAGGCTCGGGAGGTGCCGGGACACTGAATAAAGATCAGTAAGAAACCAGATTTTACTGGTTTTGTTCCTTCAGGAACAATCTGTTATTTAAGAAAGAACACTTTATACTTAACTCTACATTTCATACTCAACTCTGTGCTAAGATACCGTATTTAGTGAGAAGATCGAGTATCAGCTTCACCCCACTGCACATCAGTATAGCTCACATTTCAGCTGGGTGACCACAACACCTACATGGCTACAGAATATTTTTCTCCTTCTCTAAGGTTGCACTAGCGAGTCTGGACAGATAGTGTCACACATTAAGGCATTTTCTCATGCATTCATAGCACTGCTAGATGACAGTAACATCATTAGCTTCCTATTGAAGGGCATTAGCTATTGTTTACCCATGGAAAAGCTCTCCTTTGCTTTTCACAAACAGTATAAACAGTAAAACAGGCAAAACCAACATTGGAAATACATCAGATATCATAACCATGCACTTCAAGAGAAATCTAAACTGCCCTTAATTCTCCTAAAGGGCAAATTCCATCAGCAAGCAACTTATGCTGAAACTGCAGAGTCAAAAATAAATGTCGGCCTCTTTAATGGCTTTGGCAGAAGAGTATAAATTGAAGGGGAGTAATGTGAAAACACTGTAACAAACAGCTGGATTGATGCCACGAGGTGCTGAGTACTGTGCCTTGATGTAAGAACTAATTTATCCACTTGCTTACTCTTACTCAAGTAAATGGTCTCCCTGGACTCAAACTGCAATTAAGCACGTTTCAGTGTTTTTTAATTGGATGGGAGCAGAATGCCGGGTACTGTGCGGGACTGAGCCCACTGAGAGTACCTTGTATGTCCACCAGACACAAACAAAATTTGTAACTCACTAAGTATAAGAGGTGAACCCTCACCCTTTCTCTCTAAAAACCTGCTTCTAAGCCAAAAACTAGCCTGATTCTACTCCTAGTCCCTTCTAGTTAAAAAGTCACACCTACATTTTTTTAATCCTGATGGGGAAAGCAGGAAAGAATTTCACAGCAAATTGTGAGAATCTCTTAGCTCTAAGAAAGTATGTATTTTCTGTGAACAAGACTGGCTGCATCAACATGGATGGTTTTTTCATGTTAGTCAGAGTCTCTGCCATCATGTATCCTTAAAGGTACGTGCAGAACACTTCCCAGTTTCCCAAAGGTCTCGGCTAGATTACATCTTTTTGTGTTTCATGTTAAGGAGGCAGAGAAACTGGAGACAGCACTGAGAAAAACAAGAAAAATTATCACAGATATAAAAAAAATGGACTATGGAGAAAGACTGAAAGGTTTCCCCTAGCAGAAAATGGCCCAGGAGGGGGGCAGGGTGGTAAGATGGTGTATTGGAACAGTGTTCAAAAATGTACAAATTTGTTATAAAAAGAGGATACTGAGCAGTTGTTCTCCATGTCCAACAAAGGTAAGTTTGTTACTCTCTCAGTTTACACAAACCAGCTTCAGAGTATCTATAAAGCAGCATTTCTAACTACAAGGTTAGGACAAGATACCTTGGGAGGCAAAGAAATCTCCTCTACTGGAGAATGTTGATATAAAAGGCTATACAGACATCAGTCAGTGACAATCTATGTATATACACCATCCTGCCTCAGAACAATGGGATCGGACTAGATAACCTGTGGTCCCAATTTTCTACAATTCTGCACATCATCAGCTTCTGACTTCTCCTAACTTGCAAACCACCTAACTTTAACATCCAGCGACATAACCAGTAATTACTGAGCCAGCATTATAGGAGGGGAAGAGCCTTTGCGTTTGTGTAACACTTGGTTGCATTGCTTGGGTGATATAGAATGGTCAGCTGCATTTCACTTATTGCCTGCTGTGAGTAAGAAATCCCCATTCACTCTTCCAGGATATTTTGCTCAGACGGAGGATATTGCTGCCAAATAGCAGCAGTGGTCTTGGCTGAAGAAATTCTCAGGGAAGAACCCCCTGTTTTGCATCTCTGGAGTTAGACTCACTATTATTACAGATAATACCATAGTTATTGAATATGACTTCCTCACGCACTGGCTAGCGTAAGAAAATGTATTTTGGTACAGACATGCCAAACTATTATTAAAAGAGTCCTAATGAGACATGTTTTGCCAATTAAGAAATTCAGTGTTTTAATGGCAGTTCTACATCATTTAATTCCCCCAGTGCGGCAGACAAGCTTTGATCCAAACACTACACTCTATCTGATCAGAAGTCAAGCTGAAAGAGTCTACTCGGGTATTTTTGTTTCACAATGTCAGAGAAAGGCCATAGTAGGATTCTTTCAACCATCTCTGAACAGTCAGACACTTAGCTATATTTATTGAATGAACAAACTGCCAGAAATTAAGTCAGTCATTTTTGCAGGAAGATGTCCATAATAGAACCATTAGCAAGTCTGACTGAGGGAATTCAAAGACAGGTAAATGAAAGCCGCTATTGTTACACGTTTCCAAAATGCTTTTCTGTTATGGACATAGTTGCTAAATGTTTCCAGAATTCAGTGCTGAAACTTCACAGAATACATACTCTAATGGTCCAGAATACACAAAACTGCATTGTAAAAAACAATAATGTGACAGACTACTACTGTCGTGTCAGAAAATCTTATTATCCGAGGATTCTGACATCCATATAAAATGAAACATAGTATAATGGGGAATAATTGAGCTCATTCTACTTACCCACTCACTACATGCTCCTTATTATTTTCTGACTGCAAACACAGCTATTGGAATGGGAGGGGGAAGGAGAGTAGAAGAAAAGGCAATCTATCCATATGACTATTTTGTCATTCTAGTTTTAAAATAGAGGCAGTTAGGAACAGAACATGTACATTGTGTGTTAGTTTTCAATGGAGTAACATATAAGAAAGCCCTTCTTGATCACCTGCAAAATTACTGCTTTGCTGTTAACAGCCTACAACAGAATGTTATTGCTAAAGGTTTTAATGAACATGTTTTGTCAGTAATAAAATTCAAAGACAGCTCTGTCAAACTCAGAAGTACAAAAATGTTCATAAGGAAAGATAATTACCACTACTTACCGATTCCGTACTTTGTCCTGTAATATTTTTTAGTGAATTCATCACAATCACAGAGTATTATCTTCCTTCCCCAAACATTAATTACTGCCCCTATTTTCAGGTCACTGTCTCTGTAAAATTCCTGATGCACTGCTCCTGTCTAATAAAAGAGGGAACATTTATACAGCAGCTCTATAAATCTCAGAATCTCACAACTTTTCTTAAAATCTAGGTCATTTAGTGCATGTGATTTAAAATATAACCTTCATAGTCCATTTGCAAGTATTTTTCACCCCATGCGAAGCTACTCACTTTCACAAATGCAGTATTTACATACAGTAAATCTCAGTAGTTTTCATTTGAGCTATTCTCCAGTGGCAACACAATTTTATAAATAACTCTCTGTTGTAGAGGATAACAACCACAGAAATTACAAAAACTACTACAAAGACATTCAACAGCTGGATGTATTCAATAATATCTGACCTTACGATTGTCCAGAATGTAATGGCCTCTGTTTCCTACTAACTTTCCAAACACATTGAGAACAGTGCGACTGGTGATTGTGCCTGGCTGATACAGCCCAGTGGGAGCATACTGCAAGAAAAGAGACCAGCTCTTAAGAAATACAGTTAATAGTGAAGAAAGTTAACTCAGTTACCTTAGAACTAGCAGGTTTTTTACAGACTGACTGTTATTGTAGTATTTGCTTGGGAGAATTTTTAGTAAATTCTGAGGTAACATTACACCACTAAACCTAAAAGCCAGTTTATATGTCAAAAGCCAGCATGTATGCCAGAAGAAGCATTCAGAATCTTACTGTGTATCCAAGAGTAAAGTCTCCTTTTTCTTGGAAGCAAACAGAAAGCAAAGGTTAGCACACCCAAAGTAGCACATCATTGTCAACATCTGCTCTGAAGGCTATTATTTTGATTAGTAATAATCATAAAAACATGCAAAAGAACCACTCAGAGTTGGTCCTACTGTGCTAACCACTGCACAAATACAAGGGATTCAAGTCAGCATGATTCTTTAAGCAAAAATGTTAGTATTTTTCTTTCTATTGTGAGTTTCAAAATTACAATAGTAATTTATCCCAATAATATCGAACTTAATACACAAACACATTACATTTTTTAAAATTCTGAACAAACTGCTGATGCAGGGTAACCAAAGTGGGTTATTTTGTCTTACCACCCTCCCTGACACCCCAACTTTTGACTGATCTCTGTCTGCTGTCCTCAGAATTTCCTCTGAATTCAGAGGAAGAAGCCAGTCCTTAAAATTGCAACATGCACTTCAATGGTTCAATGGTCTGTTAACATAGAGCCACTGCTAAATCAACATCTCAGAACACACGATGCACAAGGTGAGAATAGTGCAATATTTTGCTGTTAGGTTTTTACTATAACATCTCACATACATCTGTGGCATCACAAATAGATTACCAGTATTAGAAGGAAAGCAGGGAAAAGATTCCCTAGTATTTTACTCCACCTGTGGGTTGACATTATTCTATCATCAGGATCTGTCTGGAGCGATACAGAAGCGTATCCAGCTTGTTAATTTTATAATCATAATAAGTTACAGAGGACTCAAACCCCTTGAAGATTTCTCTGAGAGGTGCCTTCTCAAAATAAGCACCTGATTAATGCTTGATAAAGTTTATTCATTGATTCCTATTGATTTTAACTAGCTTTGCATAAGGTCCCAAATCTAGGAACTATATTTTAAGAAATCACTCTACATTTTCTACAAAGAAGTAATGTTATGGAATACTAAAACCAGGCTTTACTAAAGGTTCCAAATATAAGTCATATGGATCAAATCTGAATTCACCTCAGTTTTACATTAGTTTGTCTATCAATATTAATTAATTTTCTGGACTTCCATTACTGCAGAGCCTTATTAATACATTTGCCTTAATACAATAATACGGGAGAAAGGAAATCATAGGATTCCTTTCTGCCTAAATTCACTCTCCTTTTAATTTAAGCATGACAAGCCTAAACTTATTTTTTTCCATCACTTACTAAGTTATTATATGAATATGTGTGCAAAACCTAAATCATGCAATTATGACTAATACTCTGATAACAATTGCTAAATACCATTACAATCCTAATACAGGATTTTCAAAGCAAAGCATTTAATATTTCTTAATTAGTGGAATAATTCGAAATAAGTTGAAATTTTCATTCCTCACCTTTGGAAGCTTATCTCTTCTGAGGAAAAGTGGAACTGCATCCCGGCCTGAGTTTACTGGTATAATTTCTTTTATATCAATAGTATCATCAGACAAATAATAGTGCAGAACAAGTTCCCGTGGGTCATGAAACATGGATTCTGGGTCATCCCACACACAGAAAAAACGTAAAACATGTCCATCATGCTCCAGAAATTGTTTCAAAGTGTCAATGCGCTCATAAGGGCGCAATGGCTTCATACTATCCAGAATCTGCACATAAAGGGAAAATCAAGAGAAACACTTTTTTAATCATTTGCTCTTAAAAACAGGATACCAAACTGCAGGGTACCATCCAATCTTAGAACATGGTTTTAGGATTTTCAAATACCACTACACAATTATGATACATGAAACAGTATTTATGCCATTACCAAAGAACTATTTACAGGGTTGCTGTGCCCTCAGAAAAGATATGAAAACAATTTTGGATTGGTTTTGATCCTTGGTTTTTTTTGCAATAAGGTTCTTCAGATCAGAGAATTGTTAAATTATTTATAGTACAGCTCACATTTTCAACAAATTGCCCGTGGTAATCAGATGACTACGACTTCAAATAGCATCACCCTTCCTGATTTACTTCCTTAAAAATTATTTTTTATAGATGATGTGGTATAAAGAATTAATTCTTTCTTTTCCTTTTGTGTTTTATTTCTTTTAGCTTTAAAACATAGTTTATTAACTTTGGATTCATGTCATATATTTGGCAGGTACTGAGTATGTATGTTCTCCTCTCAACATACACCCATAGGTCTGAAAAGGAATAGCAAATCTCCAACTCAAGATATATTCAAGCTGATGTGATCTATGACAAGATGCTGGCTACAGTCATGGTTGTTGCAAAACCAGCAGCACTGCATTAAATCAAATCCCAGGATGATGATCCAATCTGATGACTGCAATTACATAGTTAGTTACAGTCACATATATGAATGGTAACCTGAACAGGGTGCTTTTCCTAAGTCAAAATCCATCATGTCCAAAATGGGTTAAAGGGGCAAGACAGTCCTTCTGATCTCCAAAATTCTACAAAATTGCTTCCACAGAAGAATGGCAACAGACATCAATGAGGCAATGTAAGCTGAACTGTCTGAACAGAAAGAACTGTTGACTATGGGCAGCTTATATCATTGTTTAAATTTCTATTTATCCACTGATACATCTTCTGGCCTTAAAAATCTGAGAGGGAAAAGGCCCAATCTTTCAGAGCATCAAATCTTAAAAAAGGAGAGCAGAACCAAGTTTTGCCTGCCAATGTCCCTGCTGATCTGCAGCACCGTTTCCATTTCAGGCATCATCGTGCTCATATGCTACAACTCAGGTATTTACCACCCCAGTACCATCTTTCCTCCTTCCTGATCCTTGAAGATCCAATGAGCAACCAAATGCAGTCACAGAGCCAGGTAACATCATCATCCATGGGATATCATCTCCAACAGTACAGAAATATGAATCTAAGGGGTTTGCTACATTTTTCATTGGTCTCATTTTCTATCTCATCATATTTCTTACTCTCCCTCATACCTTCATTTTCTGGCCATCTATTAGGAGTCTGGTGCAAACCAATTTAATTTTGCTCAAAGCAGGCCAGAGGAATCCACCCTTAATAAATAAAAAACATTACCTTCCACAAATTAGTCACAGGAAAGTGAGAGCATAAAGCAGCCAGAATTTGCTAGATAACTTTTCTGTAATTTCTCAACAACTGAGAATATTAAGATACAGATTTCAGTAATTTTTGGTCTTCTGATGCTCTTATTTCTTAGCCCTTTTTCCACTCTCCATTCTCTTTAGGCACACATATGCACAATACTTGAATGTTTTGTTTGTTGTTTTATCAAAAAAAAAAATACGAGCAGGTTATGCAATAGCATATATAATGTTGACACAGTCTGCCAATATCAAGACAACTCAGCATGTGTTAATACACACCTGTTAGCTACAAGGCCTGAGTAAGGGAAAAGCAACCCATGGCCAGCCTGAGTCACCACTATGCAGAACCAGGAGATGTATTACAAATACTACTTTTCACTGGGGGGCTGCAAAAAGCCTGAAAGCATGAACGAAGTGAAACCAACATTTTGGCCTGAGAGTGCCTCAGAGACATGCAAATTGTCCTACACATCTCAGTCATAATTACCTTCCATTTTTGCTGCTGAGAGCTGCAGCAGTTTTCTCAACAGGAGGAATAAGTTGAATGCAATGGACACATGGAGTATTTGCTGCTTTCAGAATGCTAGGCTGGATCTATCACAACAGGCTGTATATCGTGGGCCAACAGTCCTAACAGAGTCAGGTCAAGAGAAAAATACAGTGCCATCTGCACTCATATTAATCAAGAAAAACGGAACTGAAAGAAACTGTCATTCCCTACAGAAAACATCACTCCTGCCACTATTGCCAGAGAAAAGACCCCAAATCCTGCAGAGGGGAATCCACATAGCATCTAGGAGCTGCGAATGAGATTTTTGGAGGACCTATGTATGTGTTCCCATATACTCATAAAAGAGGGAACAGCATTCAAATAAAACCTCACAAGTCTTAAAACTGCAGAGTACTGGGTTCTGTGTGGCAGAAGAATTTGCTTTACACATGCAAAGACCTGTTAATAACATGGGGGCTAGAGATGAATGATGACATGTAAATAGACCAAGTGAGCCTGCAGGAAGCTATGGATGTGCTTGAACCACAATTCCAATTAGATCTTCCTTTAAACACTTTAGAAGTGTTTATTATCATTAAATTAGCTCAAGCAAAATTATAAGTAGTACATATAATAGGTCCGGGCTTTTTCCTCTTAATACTGAAAGGTTTATTTTATATTCAGCAATTAATTTTGTTCTGTTTCAAAAGGTGTGTGAACACATCAGGAGAAAATCCGTTACATTTGGGACTTCACTTGTAATAAATTACAATAAAGCCATGTAATAAAGTTTTTAAAAGCAAGTTTTCTCTCGGGATTTATTATGTTGAAATAGCTACCTTCTATTTGCTATTAGAGAAATAATTTATATAATGCATATTACTAACAGCAATGGCACTTCTATTAAAATCAAGTTTTCACTATTACTGCCTGATCTGACCTTTTGCCGCTCTTTGGTGTACGGGTCATCTGGACGACCTGCAGGAGGATTTAATCTAATTCCCATCTTCCTCAGGAAATTTTTTGTAAACTGGTCACAATCTATAATCTTATATTTTCGGGCATAAAGGATTACTTCTATGTTGATATTGAAATGATCAATAGTATAGAACTGATCTTCATGAGGAGGTGGAAGTGGAATCCGATGCCGTCGGACAATAGTTCCTGTAAAAGAATTAGAATAAATTCATAGAGTAAATATCCTTTGCTCTAAGGATTACTTCACAGACTTGCTAATTTTCTATGCTGATATGACCAAAATAGATGAAGCCATATGGGACAAACAAAATTATCCTTCATTCAGCAAAAGAACCATTAGGTAAGAGGATCCTTTTTATTAACAATACTTTACGCTGATAGTTTTCTGGAACCTCAAGTTCTACCATTTGACTGAAGTTAATACAGAAAATTACCACCTTCTGGAGCAAACAGGAAACCACTGGAATAAATTCCCATTTGTTGGTGCAAACGTAACAGGTTAGTATTTTTTCAAAGTATTTTTTCTCATGATGAAGAGAGATGTCTTTTTCACTTTTTTTTTTAAAAGCAACAGCAGTCTCCAGTGCTCATTAGTATCATTAATTTTTCTTAAAAAAAAAAAAAAAAAAACAACAGAAAAAGTTGTGCAAAAAACATGTGGTGGGGGTGTATGGGAGGGACAAGATTTGTCTGTACACTCTGCAGGGTGAGGAGAGCCATTTGTAACTAAGGTTAGAGAAAAAAACCTGCCCTACCAAGGAAAAAAGTGTGACCTATCAAGCATGGAGGCAGACACATTCAACTGAGCTTCCTTAAGGAGCACATTGAAAGTAGAGACAACAGAGATGAGTTGGGCTGATTGCTGGGCTGCAGTAGCGAATCCATCTCAAAAATACAGAGCCAGGAACTCATAATGCATAGTCTAACAGGAACACTATCCAAAACAAAAAGAAAGGGGGAGAGGGGGGAGGAGAAGAAAAAAAGAGAAATTTTAACTTCGTTAAAGTAAGTGCACACTTAGATTTTCTTATTGATAGTCTTTAAATGAAAGGACTGTTATTCTGAGAGCATTGTACTTGTTCACATTTACCACATTAAAAGAGAAGGAATCTGCTATTGCTCTATCAGCTGAAAACTCACAAATACACTGATGAATCGGGTAATGCTTCAAAAGTACTCACTGATGATGATTAAGAGACTGGAGCATCTCTCGTATGAGGAAAGGTTGAGAGAGATGGGTCTGTTCAGCCTGGAACAGAGATGGCTTGTGGGGGGAAACTTATCAATGTTTATAAATACCTGATGGGAGGGAGCTCTTCTCTCTGGTGCCCACTGACAGGACAAGAGGCAATGGGCACAAATTAAAAGATACAAAATTCCATCTGAACACAAGAAAACACTTTTTTACTGTGAGGGTGATCAAACACTGGAACAGGTTGCCCCAAAAGTTTCAAAGTCTCCATTCTTGGAGATACTTAAAACCCAAGTGGACACAGCCCAGAGCACCTGGGTCTAGCTGATCCTGTTTGGAGCAGGGGGTTGTACTAGACAATCTTAAGATATCCCTTCCAACCTCAACAAGTTTGTAATACTACAAGTATATTAGAAACAAAACAACTTATAAGCTACAGCCTCAGTAGGTTAAATAAATATGTAACACATACATTAAAGAAAGATATGCAGCTGCATGTATGACAAGCTACAATTTATTCCAAGTGAAGTTAGAGTTCACAAAAAACAGCAGACTGGCACAGCTGGGACTAAACTCTTTTTTTCAACATTATGAGAGAACAAAAAGGACAACAGTGAAAGTTTTGCCACATCAATACCTCAATATAGTTGTGTGAAAATACCCTGCAGAAAATAAAAAGATGGTCCACTCTTCAATCTCAGACTCTTTGCTGTGCTTACCAACCCAGACACCTCTGTAACACCAGCTTTATAATGCAGATACCCACTGGCTAGAGACCAGACAGGAACCACCAACCCATACTATTATAATAATTTCTTGCCACTATAGGTTCCCAACACCTTTAAAATTACAGTAATTATAAAAGGTGAAACTTTAAGACAGCTACAGTAAACACACAAAAATTCAAAACTAAAAATAACTCCAGTACTAACCTACTACTACAATAATAGTTTATTAGACACAATTATCTAAAAGGTCTATCTCATTATCTCTCACTACAGAACTGGATTTCTTTCCAGTGCCCTTCAGCTGTGCATCTGGTAGTGTTTCCCACTGAGTCTCGTTTGATGATTTTCCAGCACTGCTATTTTGTTTTGGAGGTAGGTGGGGGTAGAGGGGGGCCTGGAGAGAGAGGTGACAAAGACAGGCAGAGGAGGAGAGAGAAAGATATCGCTATGTGGTTTTGTTTGGTGATTGAAGGGCCTTATTCCTAAGTTAGACCATGGAAATTCTTTATTGTTCGCTTTATTTCCCTAAGGACTAATCTGTATGAAATACCTTCCACTACTACATTATCAGAGTTGTTTGTTAAATTCTAACTCCTACAATGAAAACATACCCTTAATTTTCCAGGGGAATAAAGCAACAAAGCAGATTTACTTTATGTTCCCATTAAAATAATTATTTAAGACCCATTCAGCATCCCGATGTTTCACGTGTACCAAATCCGATGCTCTGGTTACTGACCTTTGACTGTAAAATAAATTTGAACATCTATCTGCTTAAAAATACTTATACACATATTTGAGATGCATCCTCATGGAAATACTAGTTAGAAAACGTGGCGATTAGCACATTTTAACATGATGCAAAACTGCATCGCATTACCATTAACAAACCACATACTTTAAAATATGTTACCTGATTTTGGCTAATCCTTGGGTCACTCCTACAAAAATCAACAGATAACGTGCTAAGTCAGAACAGTCCTCCACATAAATGCAAATCCTGTTGAATCATCATTTTAGTGAAAATATAATGGTGGACAATTTTCTAATATGAGGTGTTTTCTGAGAGTATATTCACCTCAGAACTAGTGAATAAGCCTTCAGCTAGTTTTTCATATCGCTTTTCAAAGTATAATACACATGTTCATTTTGTTCTGAGGGATAAGAATTTCTTTCCTAATGGAAAATGTCTTGTAAAGATAATATCTGTAGCAAACCTTTGCTTTTATTAGGCATCACTGTGCCTGATCTACACATGGTAGAGGATACATTTTATATTGTTGAATTTGAAATTTAATAAAACCTGATCAGCTGAGGTTAGGTCTCAGCATTTTTTAAATTGTCCTTCCTTCTAGAAAATAATTACATTTCTACTTCTAGAAATTTGCTACAAGTTGATCCTCCTACAAGGAGGATCTGGGCATGTGCAACATTCAGGTTGCTCAGGATGGATGGCTATTCTTGATGTTTCTTTTGTCTTTGCTCAGTTTATTGCATCTGGTCAGGCTAAAGCTCTCCTCTACTGTGCTCTTGTAAAGGGAGTTGGGGTACTGCTTTTCTCTGACAGTGGTAGTGGCATCGAGTTCCCACACCATAATTTGTAGCATATCTTTTTTTCTCTCAGGGCTTCTGATTATTTTGCAACTACAGCAGCAGCTTAAGGAGATCTTAATAGTAGTGAAGGCCTTTTGACTACAGGGCAGCTCATGAAGCTGGGCAGCAAACGATTTGGTCTCTGCTGCTACACTGCTCTGCAGAAGAAATAAAGTGGTATCAAGAATTTCTTCAGCACAGCTTTCTGACTCCCTCTGCACTACTCGAGAGTGCATTAGACAGAGGAGAGGAATGGGTAACACCTGGAGCTTGTACACTCTTTGACTGCTTACACGGAAAGGAGAAGAAACAACCACTACTATTCTTGCAACGCAAAGAGTTCACCCCAATAAACAAAAGGGCTTCTTTCATTCACTCATTCACCCATCTCAGAACACAGCAAGGTCATGATTTGGCCATCAAGTACGGCAAAATCACAATTATTTCAAGGCCTCAGGGGAGGTCTTAAACTCTTAGATAATCGGTTATATTGGAGCAGCTGACTGCAACTTTGCTTTTCTGCTTGTACTTTCCTCTTCAGCCAGCCAGCCTTGGGAACCCCGCCAGCAGGCAGCTCCACTCTCTTTTTCAGCTGGCTGACCTTGGGGAAACCAGCCAGCTGCTCCACTCTGCTCTGGCTTGCAGGGCCTGGATTGCACTGGAAGCTACAGTCAACCCCATGGGATATAAATGACCTTTTGATAAGACAGTATCAGCCAGCCACAGTCCTGTTAAGTGGGAATTAGATCTACAAAACACTTGCACTGCCATATGTAGGCTGCCTCTCCATGGGAGAATTTCTTTTTATATGGGAAGAATAATTAGCATTCCAGCTTTGGAAGAACATAGTGGATTTTGTTATGTGGTCGAGTTTACTGTCCTCCTCTTCACTGTGTACTCCCTTATCTTTAGTTAGTTCTTGTGCACTGTGATTGTCCTGGTATTTTTTGCTTTGATTCTGGTTTCTCAAGTTCACGTTGGCCTCTGCATTCCTTCGTGTTTTGCATTGAATTTCTCTGTTTGTATAGATTTCTTCTAATGCTTCTAATATTTTCCAAAGTTCAAACTATAGCAAGGCAGTTTCCAAAATTAAATGAAGTTTAAATTCCAGTTATTTAGTAGCAACCTTATCTGTCCAAATTCATGTCCAAGTACAGCAGCCAATTCCATAAAGCATTTTTTAAAGTCACTGAAATACATTTCCCACAGATTATTCATTTTGTCACTCTGAGATTTTGATGAATGGTAAAAACACATTTTCTGGCTTTTTTTTTTTTTTTTTCACGAAGCCGATTTGTTTTAGTTTTGTAAAATCATAATCAAAGTTAGACATTCTAACTTCTTTGACAGCTGTTCCTTCACCAAATCTTCCTGCAGTCCATAAGCCTCTCCAAGCTTTTTCTGCAAAGCCACAAGTACTACCCACAGTGGAGAGTACAGTGGGAAACTACTACATTTCTCTGATCCCACCATGCCCAGGGACACCCATTCAGACCATCAAGCTCTCATTTGTGGGTTATGGCACAAGCACTGGTAATCCCATGGCCTCAAGGCATTAACCAGCCAAGCTAAGATCATCTACCTTTGATCTACCCCACCACTGTCGTATCTACTCTTCAAGAAGACTCCTAAGAACAGCCATTTCAGCTGTCTCTTTTACATGTTTTCCATCAGGGTAAACATCCGAGTTAAGGTCACCACCACCTTCTGCCTTCAACAGTTCCAATTCCACTTTTTCCATCACTGTTTTTTGCTGTTCCTCCTTTACACAACCCCTTTCCAACCACTGCAACTCTCCAAATGTTCACACAGACTGAGCCTATCCTGCTCCTGATGTTCCCACACTTCTTTCTTCACCCACACCTGCACACCTGTGCTCTTTTGTTCAGTGCAGTTTGCCTTTCAACAACCCAAGTTCTCCTACAACTGAACTCTCCTCTACAAACCCCTGGCATTTCAATTAACTGAAACGTAGTATTTCAGCAGACGTGCAGAGGACGGCATTATGGTTAAGATCCTGAACTTCAGTTCCTTGTCCTGTTATGACCTTTTCTGCATGATCGTGAGCGAGATTTTAATTCCTTTGTGCTTCAGTTTACCAGCTTCACAATGCAGACAGTTACACTTCTGTTGTTCTCAGGCTTACAAATTCCCAGTCAGGACAGGGAACTTTAAATATGAGAGATATATAATTGTAATAAAAGAGGCAACAGGCCAATTTTTGATTGAAAATGGAGTAAGACTAGCAGTTAATGGTCTGGGATTTCTTTTTAAGAAACACTGCTTTCGCATATATTCAACAACAAATATCTAGTGCCTTTACCATAATAACTCTGTGGTTGTTCTTCAGTTATGGAGCATGAAGTCAATGCCCAAATGCATGTGAGTAAAGAATCCTCTGACAGGCATCTCCACCACCTTTCTCCCCTCTACATCATATTAATCTTTGGGATAATAATAATATTTATGTAGAAGTTTATGATAAAGTATAGGTCCAAGACTTTCTCAACAACTGTGAAGCCCAAACATATCCCAAATAGTCCTTGGGCCTTTCAACCTACAGTATCTCTTCCTTCCTAAACACAATCAATATACAGAGCTTCCTTACCAGCCCAGATACCACCAACAAATAAATTAAGTGCATTTTTGAGAGCCTGGAACATTTCTTTTTAATCTATCAGTGTAATATGGTGTGTATACACACTTATCCCACATAAAGCACTCATACAAAGTCGTAGAGGCCTTCAAAACATCCTTGCATGGAAGACTGAGAGAATTCTTGTTTCTCTCTTATACTATTCAGTTAATTTTAGATCCAGTACCAAAGGTGACTCCAACAATGATTAACACAAGATACAACCAAGGAAATAGGGGAAAACTGTAGCCTTCCGGTCACCGCAGGAACATGACTAGACTACCAGGAACACCAGGCCTGAAGGGGTAGCCTGCACAACCCATACTACAAAGACAATGAAAATTACTTATTCCTGTAGCTAGTTTCACAGATATCAGCTTTGAATTTGCTTTATCGTGCTCTAACAAACCTGGCTTCCACCTTTCCTCTCAAAGACATCATCTCTGCATCTCAGGTTAACTGTACTTCCTTTGTCGATGGCCATTTGTTCTAAGCCGTAAAATCCAGAAACAGCCACTCCACTCCTGTGACACACAAGTGAAGGAAAACCTAAACCCGCTGATGTCTCCTGCCTCATGCATATGAGTTCCCAGGAGAAGAGATCCAACATGCTTTTCTTTAGGTCTTGAAAAAGCACTTGCCCAGGTAGGAGTAGGACGAGGTTTCTCTGAATTCAAAATCAGTTCCTGCTGAAGAGCCAACAAGATTTCTGGCAAGAAGAACTACTCAACACAGGCAGAGCAGGGCCTGAAGTACTGGTTTAAGAAAAGATTGACAGGTAATTTTATCCCAGGTCTAACAGTAATGAGGCACATAACGTCTTTAAATATTATCCTACACGGTAGACTGAGAAATTGATAGCATCTGCTCATCTTGGAAAAGAATATGGCAGTTAAATGGTTAACTTGTTTTTGAAAATTGCTGTGCTAAGATCCACCAGAATATACAAAATATCTTTAGGGATTCGGAGGCGCAGTCATCCCAAGATACTCATCCCAAGATATCCTGCTTATCTGGACTATATCCCTTGAAAACTTTTTAATTCTGGCAGTGACCCACAAACACCAAGAAGCAGCAGCTGTGTTCCCCTTCTGCAACAGGATGTTGACCACTAGGTCACATTTTCTTAATGTAAACAAAGTCCACTAATACTCAGTAAATACTCAGTAAATCAGCTCAGTAAACTCTCCTCCAAAAGTCCTCAGGCTGGCCCAAGTGCAGCGATGTGACACCGAGGCGAGGCAGCTTCTGAGGCGTCAAGGAAAAATTACTGTGCCAAGGGCACTTTAATCATAAAAGAACCAACAGCCAAAGGCACAAAAGGCACTCTCCTTCAATAATGGCAGAGATACTGCAGCAGCTAATGAACAGTTACAGAGCTGCCACTAGAGGACTTACTATCAGTGCCAAGATGGAAGGAGCCAGGCTCAGGAATGGAGATCTAGAACACAAATTGCTTTTGCAGAAGTGACACAACACTGACAAAAGACCTACTGGCATATAATTGCAAACAACTATATTAAAGAAAAAATTGTATCTTTGAGTATGGGAGTGGATTCTGCCTTACAAAACCTACATCTAAGGAAACTAAGACAATAAAAAAGTTCACATTATGACCTGTAACAAGAAAAGGCAATTACAGCTGTTCACTGACATTCCAACTATAAGAAGTCACATTACCTATCCTTTGGAATGGACCAAGACTGTACTGAAGAAAAAAATAAAGGGGGAAAAAAAGAATGCTATTAAAAATAGATACCTTGAGTTATGCCACTGTTTTTCACTTGGGGTTCAATCACTTGAATTGTATCATCTTCAAGGTAGAAGTATATTTTACAATGTCTGATTCTATATAGCTCTTGATTTTTGTCAGGCACTTCTTCCTCAAAATAGGCATCAAAAGACAATACCTATTAAAAACAATAAATAAGTGTAAAGCAGCAAAATCTCCAATGCCTTGGCAAAATAGTCAATAAAATAAACTTGTATAGATTATAAGTAACTAAATGTATGGATTTCAGGAGGTAGATTTATTTCTCAGAAATGTAAGAACAGAAATCCACATTAAATCACATAAATTTAAAATTCTTTGCTTGGCATTTTTATTATCACAACATCTAAGCAGAGATGGAACTCTAAAGTAAAGAAATAAATCAAATATAAAACTATCAGCATGCTGCTTGGAAAAATCTTCTGAACAAAGCACTTTTGATAACACAATGAGCTATCTAGGTCCTGAAGCAAATTTTAGACCGCTATTCAATGAATTGCTGGAAAATAAAGTGCATTATGACAGTAATGGCTTTACCATTGAGTAAGTAGAAAGAAAAGTTCTTTTTAAGCAGATCCTGCAAGCTGTTTAATAAATGGTACTGAAGACTATCAGAGTGAAATGACATTTTTCAGGAGTCATTTAGAGCTGTGCAATATTGGCATTTCAAAACTTACGTGGTTCTGCAATTCAGTGAGTGGAGAAATCTCAGAGATTATACCAGCTGGTCTTCATGGTCTCTTGCAATAGCAGTAATGCAAGAAAAAAAACCTTCATAGGTGAGATGCTCAGTGGTTTACTACAGTGGCCTTTATGTCTGGAGATCCCAGTTCAAACTTGGCAAACGATTACACAAGTTTTGCGCTTCTCGGTATAATTTATCGTCTTTAATCACGAAGACCAATTTTAAGGGAACATGCAAGAAGTATCTACTTGGTAGTGCATTGCTGTGTTAAGTATGTGCAGGAAGGCATTAACTGAAACAGGTTTCTGTCCTGCCCCCCCAACACATTTGGGTCAAATCAGTGCTAATTCATACTTCATTTTTCACAATGATTCTATTTAATAAATTCAATTACCTTTATTCTTGTTCATTAGACAAACTGAAGCATTGAAAAAAAAGACAACTAAGCTGTTCCTTGTTTCAGTGAGCACCTCAAAGTACTTCCATGAATACTAACAACAGAGATTTTAGAACACCCTAATAGACAAACACAACCTCTTTTTCTACATCTGGGGAGAGAGAGCTAGTGGATTGCTCAGGAGCACACAAGAACAGCTGCCCTGTGTCCTAGTCAGACTTCTCAATAGGCCACTCTGCCTTCTCTCAGGCAGGTTAAGTGCAAGATGAGGAAAACTCTGCTTCCACAAACTATTTCAAAGGCTAAGATCCCACCGATTTTCAGCATGCATCAAACAATAGGACAGACACATTTTTGGCATCAACTCTCCCGCACTGTGACCCACTACCATTAGTGAAATAAAATTTAAATTCTAATCAGATGACATAACTGTTACCTGTTAAACCTGATGACATTAAATCTTCACACAAAAGAATCTAGACATTATCAGTTATGGTTTGTTTAAGTAGTACAACATGCAAGTTTCTGAACAACCTACAGACGAAATAGTTGAAAACAAATAAAAAAATCATTCTGGGCACATGCAATTTTTAACTGTGGATTTCACTGTTTCATGTATCAAACACAAAAACACTCAATAAAACATCTGACGTACAACAGAGCCAACACAAACAGCTCTATCATGCTTTAACATTTCCTCTTCCTTCCATTTGTCTAAAACATTGGTGTATAGTGCCATTTTTGGTTACCAAGGTATCCTTCCTGGCCTCCAGCTACTATTCTGGAAGGACCAGGAGCCCTGGGTAAATCTCTCGAATACTCCAGGGCACTTCAAAGGTACTATGGTGGAACCACTATATCCCAGTCTGAACATCCTGGGGTTCAGCTGACAGGGAGCTGAATTTCATTCCTTGCCCAGCTGCTGATAAGCCATGCAACCATTGGAAACTTACTTAGATGCTGTACCGTCTTCTCCCTATTCTGCTAGTCCCACTAGAGTATAATAGTAATTTGACAAACATATTGTTCAAGTGCCCTATTTTATTACTAATTGTTCTTAATTTTGTCAATGATCTTTTCTGAGAATGGTTGTCTCATGAGACAGCAGCCAGGCGAAATGGTCTGTCTGCTGTTTGCACAGATCTCCAAGCACAATCAGGTCCTAAATACACTGTATTTATTTCTTTCACTGAGCATACACCTATGTCCTGGTTTACTCTATTCAAGGAGTTTGTGCAAGTTCTTTTGCACTTAAACTTTACTCTCTTTATACCCTTATCAACATGCTAGTGTATGACTGAAATATATGCAGCAGCCAACTGCAGTTTTGCAGATCAAAACAGATGATACAGGAAGGGTGAGGAGGGGAAGGGACAGAAAAGAAGATGACTTACTTTTCATTTTAAAGCAAAGTTAATTTTAAAAATACCAGAAATGTAACACTTCCTAACTCATGTTTCATCTGTAGTACATTGCTGCATGCAAAGTTCCCAACCCACTGTTTAAAAAAATTAAATGTTACCTATGAAAAACAAAAGTAACAAATATCGAATAAACTCCCTGACATTTTGTAAAGTTGGCACAAGGTTTCCCTGGCACCTGTGGTAATCAAATTATAAACATCGTTTCAAGCCCAGGAGGCCTTGTGTGTGTACTTAATCGTAGTAGAAATTAAATTACACCTGCTTCCTATTAGGCATACGAAATTGCAAAAACTATTTCTCAACCTACTTAATAATGAAGTTTTATGCCTGTCCTTCCTCCAACTACTATGGTACTGCTGAAAGTTACAAACCAAAGAAAAACAGTAAGAAAGCAGACTACATTTAAAAAGATAAACACCTACTCAAACCATTTTTCATGTAGTCCATTCTGCTGAGTCACAAACTGCAGCACTGGAGGACGTAGCTGCGTTCTAGGCTCTTAACTGAGGAAGCTAAATTAGTTGGGTAGTACCCTTTAACAGTCTGCAATTAATACAAACACATGAGCCCTCCAGAGGCCAATTCCGAACCTGCAAATTCCTGTCCTGTATTGCTCTGTGGAGGAATACACCGATTAGAGAAGGAACGTCAAAAGGCCACCTAGCTAATCTCACCAGCCAAGTTCAGTGCCTGATGCTCAGTGGCACGTCCCCACTGCCTCCTAACTAATCCCTTTATTTCATAAACTTGGGTCCAAGTCCTGCTAACTTACATATTGCCCTGAGACGCCAACACGCACCTCCTCATTGAAAGAAGGGTGCAGATAAAGCAAGTGCAGGATGGACTGAAGCCTTAACACTTTGCCACATTAGACCAATTCATACTTGAGCACATTGCTGAAAACTGTGTGAGCAATACTAGGGATTTCAGAGGCAATGCTAACCGAAGTCACGTGTATCTGTGCAAACCTTACATTTTCTTGTACTAGTTCTGGTCTGCCAAAAAGACAAATGTGTAATTGTACTGCAATTACCTGCATGGCTTTTCTTTTAAAGCAAAAATTATGAGATTAGCCATTCTTCCCAATATTTAAATACCATAATCATTTAGTCATGCAACATTTCTGCAATCTGCTGAATGATTTCTTTTTCTGGATCATTTTCCTTCTCTGATTGTAGGCCTTTTGCTTTAGAAAGAAAACATTGCTAAGTAGAATTTACATTAAATTTAAACATGGAAAGTAATGACAGTGTGCTACAAAATTCATATCATCACAGATTAGTTATTTGATAACTCTCTAACTTTAAAGGTATCACTACATTCTTGCAAAATAAACAAATTATTAATTTTAAACTCCTCTGTCTATAATGGACACAGTCTACCTATATTACACAGGAACAGATCACACAAAAGTGAACAGGACTTTGAGCAAGCAAACATGATGGGATAAGTAAATTCTGAGCCTATAGCACTCCACTGAGGTTAATGGTTCCCGAGTCCCCGTGCACATTTTCTCCTTGACTAGGGCATACCTTACATTCATTCTCAGGTTGCCAAATAATTCCTTTACTGTCACCACTTTCACTAAAAAGAAATATGTCAACCACTCCCTTGTTTTTAATATATCCTGTAGGAGATGTACCCCAATACAGAAATATTTTTATATGTTGCTGTATGGCATGATATGTTTATATTAATTGTCCAATATACCAATATGACGGAAAAATAGATGTTACCGCTCTTTTTGTCCATCTAGGAGCTTCTTTTGCATGCACAAAATAATCTTCTGAAATACCTGACTAACTGAATTTCACCTTTATACTGTCTTTGTCATATTGTAGCTATTCATAAGACACATACAGATTTAGATTTCTACATACCTGCTTGTCAAATGCTACCCAAGCAGGAGCATCACTTCCCATCCCTTCAGGAAATACACTGTATTTAGGTTTCAGCTTCCGACCAGGTAACGGTTCACCTCCTATTCCAGGTTTATCTTCTCCAACCAGCATAGCAACATTATTGCAGTAACCCCAGTGCTGTGACTTGTGGAACTTTTCTTTCCCTATCTGTCAAAAGTTTGGAAGAAAAAGAGAAAAAAAATCTGTGTGTTTGTTTCTAAATCCGTAAGACTTACCTATCTAGGCAAGGGAGATTAATCATGTAAAAGTTTCTATATAATTACTTTTAATACAGTCTAAAAACCTGTAACAACTGGAATGCTGCAAGTGAAGTGACATATTTCAGTGGTCAATTTGCCAGCCCTATAGATGAAAATGGAAAAACATTCCAGTTATTTACCCAGGCTGAGAGACAGGATGATACCGGCTGTGCCCCCCCTCCCCACCTTCCTTGCAAAAAGGATTGAGGCATGTGGTAGAAAGAAGCAGTTCACCCACTAGAACTGTTCCAAAAGGTAGAGGGGAAAAGCCTTTTCTACAGATCACCAGAGGACAAATGGAAATGGTTCAGGAGTACCCAGAGAACAGCCTGCTCTCATTACTTATGTGAAAGATCTTATTTACACTTGCATCCCCGAGTGCAAAATAAATGGCTCTGTACTAGTGAATACATTTGAATTTTGGGAGGTTGGATCTGAATCAAAAGACAGAATATTTATTCCATCTGGGCTTATTCCAAAAGGTCTCTGTAGTGATTTCTTTATTTTATTACTATTTTTTCAGGCAATTAAGGATGGAGTGTGTAAAAAACTATGCACAACCAACTGCAAAGAAACCCGTCTTGCCTACTCGCATTTCTTGGCTGGGGCTGGAGCCAGTCTTGAAGTGATGCAGAAAAGCCTCTGGCCCCACATGAGTATCAGTCCTGCCTGTGGGAATGTCCCTCCTAATGAGCTGCCTGCTTTGCTGGCCAGTTCCCTCGAATGGAGGCAGCCGGTGTGAGCTGCACTCCGGCAGCAATCCCCTAACGACCCCACACATCAGTCTCACGCAAGAGGACAGGGAAATAGGAAAAGCCAACAGAAAGCTCTACTAACCCCTCCTCCCATAAGTGGCAATCCTGACTCGTTAGCTCCTCTTGCTCTGCTATTCCTCCCTTCTTCGCCCTCTCAAATCCTTGAAACATTTTGTCTGGGAAGGCGTAGAAGGGCCATGGGGTAACTGCACCCCAGCACACCTAGTAAGGGGAGACAGAGGCTACAGCAGCTGTGCCCTCCCTTGGCCTGGGACTGGGTGAGCATGAGGCTGAAGGGGGAGAAACTGGTGTTATGGGTGAGCACAGAGAAGGCCCTGGGTAGAGGAAAAGGCTGGACAGCAAAATTTTTCATAGCAGCACCAGAGGAGGTACATCAGTAAAGTAGCAGAGGGCCAAAATTGTCTCCTCCACTACATTTGGAAGACTGGGCATCACTAATTATCACATGCATATATTTAAACCACTACTCCCCCAAAAGATGTAGACAACTCTAAGTTACTATCATAAATCAAAAAATAGTACAAATAATCATTTTTCATCATGGCAACATTCAAGTGCCCCAAGATAACGTAACACACGCTCAGGACAGCAGTTCTGGGAACAAGTGCAAGCAGTGAAGCAGCAAAACCTGAAAGTAACCGAATAGTTATTTCATTCTGCCAATAGGAAAGAGAGTGAGAAATTCAAAAGGCAGCTAACCAACCTCATGGCTCATAATATTCAATGCTCATATATACAAACTACCGCACACTGAAGGTTGCAATCTGAACTGTTCACCTGCCTTGCGGTGCTCTAAATCCAATGACACAGAATGGAGAGCTGCCCTTGACACGAACAGCTCAATCACTACTGTAGCTCAACCTTTGCTTAAAACCCTTTGGCATACTACTTTTGCAAGGACAGTGGTATGAAAAATAATAAATTACTTACTATTTTAACAAATTATTATTTTTAATACCATAGTAATCAATGGCCATACCTTGCTTAGGTTAACAGAAGCTGGGCTAGCCAGCACGCTTTGAAACAGTCATTGCAAAACCAGATAAGGTTTGCATACTGGGGACAGTAATGATTGGGAGTATGGAAGCACTTCCTCAAACAAGATATTTAAAAGGTAAGCAATGTTTTACATAGGGGTGAATAAAAGGGCACATGGCAAGTATCATAGTTTAAAGAATAATACAAAGGAAAAAAAGTACTCCTGACCCATATGTTTATAAGTCAAGAACAAGGGTTACTGAATAAAAGAGAAAATCAATAAAAGGAAATACTTGTGTAACAATTAGTTAGGCCATCTCCCCCCACCCCCGCCACACAGGATTGCTCAAGCCAGGAATTTAACAAGATTTAAAAAAGAGCTACATATTTGCAGGAATAATGCCCAAAATAAAATATTTCATATCAGCACATGTTTTTGAGCTGTGATATAAACGTCATGCTTCGGTGCGCAGTGTAAGCACTGACATGTAGGCATTAGGAGCAGCTCTTGATGTGGTCATCGCCCCCCTTCCTCAAGAAGAGGGCACAGGCACTCTCCTGGTACAGGACTCTGGAACAGACAGGCACTGACGGGCTCTGGCACCCGCTTTGTAACACATCTGCACTTAGGATGGTTTTCTCCCTCTCCTTTGAGCGCTGCCAAGCTGCCCTTTCTTCTTCTATTTCTTTTTTTAATAATTTTGTTCCTCAGTAACCTGATAAAGAGTTGGAGAGAAGTCAGAATGGAAGGGAGCTTTCTGCATTTATCAGTTCAAATGTGGAATAACTATAGTCAAGCTGAGTTTTAAAAGGGAAATTTCTAGGCAGAAACATCTAATTTATACTGAAGGTGTCATAGAACAGATCTACTTTTTGGCACAGCAAGTATTTAATTATTTTCCCCCTATTACCAAAGCATGAGTTAAGGAGAAAGGCATAGTTATCAAAGCACAGTGAGGGTGGCAGTTTTCCTGAGCAAAGGAAAGCTCTTCATGTCCTCAAAGCTTCTTCTAGAAGAATTTGCTCTTCATCTGTTTCTGGGTTTTGGCAAGCTACAGTGTGGTAAAGTGTTCATCAAAGTAATCCAGGTTTGCTCCTGCTGGAAATTTTCCAGAATTTAGGGATGAAATCACAACATCATTCACAATTTGATATGAGAAATACATGGCCCAACAGCTGCAATTCTGTTAAGAATTTTTTGTGGCATTCTTATAACTTTCTGAGTATTCGACAAAAAGAGTATTTTAAATTCCTAATCACAAAATTACTTATAAGCCCTTCTCCATAAAATGCACCTAATTTTCCATATGCAAAATAATCTCTTCTAAAAGTCTGTACAGTTATTTCTTAAAAAAAAGCCAAACCAAACCCACAACAAAAAAAACCCAAAAGAATGTTTAAAAGAAAAAGTAATTATAACTGAAGATCACAAAAGAGACAAATGACATTTGGGAAACTTCAGCTAATGAACTCAGACCACATCCAGCCTAAAATAGTGACAGAACATCATGTTACCTCCACAGTAATATTAAATTACTTCTAAAAGAAATCTGTGAGAGTGCAGGGAAAGAGCTTTACTGTGTCTGCTGTGCTAATGCAGCTAAACTGAACAGGCTGTAGATCTGCTGAACAAAGCTGGCCATTTTCTGTGCGGTGAGCCTGAAATAAACATTGAGGATACACTCAATAGTGACTAATGCAAAGGTCAGGATTCTCTAACTGCAGCTATTGGCTTTGCAAACTCAGCCACTGCAGTCCTTGGGGAACACTGCCGTGTGCTCTCTCCATCTTGCTCTTTAATACTTTGGTACAGAGTCACAGCAAACTCATCAGGGAGCTGCACGTTTCAGCTGAACCAAACACAACTAGAAATCTCTCCCCACAGCGGCTGGAGTGATGAGGGAGCCCTGTGACACACGCTGCCTCAGGAGCTACATGTTTTTAACCAAGTCCCACAGGGAGTTATGGCAGATGCCACTGGTAGCAGCCCAGTTCTCTTCCCCGCATCCATTTTTAATTCCCATCTTGAGAACAGCAGCTGCACTGTGGAGATCCTGCTCAAATCCTGTATCAGGATGAACTGTGGCATTTCTGAACTACTCTAGGCTGCTCTTACAGTCTCCTGGTTGCTTTGGCTAAGCAATGGAAATAAATGCAAATGCTGCACACTGTGCCAGTCAAATTCATGTGACCAATTTTCAACTCTTTTATCATCCCCAGCTTGCTGCGGAGGTTTCAGTATGCTCAGAGGTTAAGTGGTACTGTAAAAGGAGGAATACCTTAAGACATGGATCCCAGCAACTCTGGTGCCCCTCTAACACATCCCAGAACAAGGTGCATCAACACTAATATGGACCTGTTAGAGCAGGTCCAGAGGAGGGCGACAAAAATTTTTAGAGGGATGGAACACCCCTCCTATGAGGACAGGTTGAGAGAGTTGGGATTGTTCAGCCTGGAGAAGAGAGGGCTCCAGGGAGACCTTATAGCAGCCTTCCAGGACCTAAAGGGGGCTTATAAGAAAGATGGGAACAAACTTTTTAGTAGGGCCTGTAACAATAGGACAAGGGGTAATGGTTTTAAACTAAACGAGGGTAGATTTAGGCTAGATACAAGGAAGACATTTTTTACAATGAAGGTGGTGAGGCACTGGAACAGGCTGCCCAGAGAGGTGGTAGATGATCCATCCCTGGAAACATTCAAGGTCAGGTTGGACGAGGCCCTGAGCAACCTGATCCAGTTGAAGATGTCCCTGCTCATCGCAGGGGGGTTGGACTAGATGACCTTTAAATGTCCCTTCCAACCCAAACCATTCTATGATTCCATTAGCTTGCTCTTACTGCCTGAGCTGGCGCAGCCTGAGAGAAGACAACAGATGGATATAAAGTAAAGGGTCCAAAATGCAACCCCGATGGGCAGCTACAGGAAGATTTGGGTTTGGGGGTTGTGAACAGAGATCTCGGGGTGTGGGGCTGGGGGCAGGAGGTAGCAGAAGGGGTTCAGGAAAGAAGGCCAGGGAAAGAAGGGAAGGCACAGCAGGCAGGCTTACTTATACAGAGGTTGCCAAGCACTCTGTCAAGAAAAACTAATGTCCTGTTTTGGCACCAATGATTACAGAGCAGCAGAAAACACTCAAGCCAGGAAACGTAGAGACAGCAACAGAAGGACAGTTGAGGGCAATTCCAACCTCCTGCAGTAAACAAGGAAGATGTGGAATTTCTGCTGCACCACTAAAGTTTACAACAGAAACTGATATTCTCAAGGATGTATTTTCCCCCTGAGATCTATAAACTTATTGTCCGATTCTCTGAGAAATGCCATGCTGAATTGTTGCACAGAATTCTCTCTCTGAGAGGGATTTCAAACCTCAGGCAAGAAAATACACTGGTCAGCTAGCACTTGGTAAATCTGACCCATGTGAATATGCGGTCCTCTCCATTAGCTGCTGATATAAGGCAACAACATCAACCTGGTATCAGAAGGGGCAGCTGCCTTTGAGAACAAGAGGTAGACCAGTAACGCTAACAAAGGAAGTAATGATGCTGTTGCATTGCAACCAGTGTCATCCCTAACAGTCCAGACTCCAAATGCACAAACCTTTTTTTGCAGCAACAGAGCAAACCTATTACATGCTATATTTCCACCACATGCAGGATTAAACATGGTTATCAAGATCTGTGATTTTCTGTCCTGACAAACAGGTGACACGCATATAACTTGTATGGACAAAACTGAAAATCTCATTATTGCACAATTTCAATATCAGTTGGGCTCTGCAGACGGAAGCCACAGTACCTAGGTCTCCCTGTGGCTCTTAAACATCGGCTTCCGTGGCAGGAAAAAAAGAAAAGAATTGAGGAATTCCCCTTTCCAAGGGTATGCAACAGGTAGTGAAATTTTCAAGGGGGTAACCCGCAAGTTATTGTTTGTGAAAATAAAGAAATAAATAAACTCTTTAATGCACCAGGATGGTAAATGATGTGCGAGTACCACATCCTGCCACTGCCAGGCAGACAAGGGCACTTCTCTAAGGCCGTCAGGACAGAGGAGCACCAGCCTCGCTGAGGGGCAGCAGCACTCCCAGCACAGAATCCGGCCTCTCCAGCCTCGGCAAAGGGGCACGGCCTGAATTCTGCCCATTAGCCAGCACCCTTAAGAGGGGGGCCTCACAGGTGGGCAGGAGATGAGCTAATCCATGCTCAAAATACCAGCCTGCTCTGTCGTTAGATCTCCTGATCACCCACATGTGAACATGACAGGCGCTGCTGATGAGCAGCTTATCTTTGGACTTCTGTTCAAGGAACAGGAGTTTTAAAGGAGGTGAAGGGGGTTTATTTGATGGGTGGACTTATGTGTACACAAACTACTGTAATTTGATTTTAAAGAGATCTGAAAAAATAGGAGCAGTTCTTTTTACTCTCTTTGTAGACAGTATTTTATGCTCCTGATGCCTTCTGCTAGCCGTCATTCTTCTCCACCCCATCAAACCAAAATTCAAACATGGCACTGCTTGTGCTATGCCTGTCCCTTTCATCCTTGCTCTTCTTTTAGCACAAAGGAAACATTACCTTACGTTACCGTAGGAACCACTCTGCCTGTTTTAAAAGTGCCTATCACCTCCCCATGTTTCCCTCTAGTCTCTGTGATGCCCAAGCAGCAAGATTTTGTCCCAGCTACGCAGGACCGAAGCGGCAGCATCGCCCTCGGGGTTGCTGAATCGGGCACCAGTCAGTTACAGTTAAGGGAGGGAAAAACAATAAAAAACAGCCAGCGGCTGCTGCCTTTCACAGTCCCGGCACCAGCGGCGGCTGTGAGCTGCCCAGCCTCGCTGCCCTTGCTCCCACCTGGAGATGAAGCAAGTGTTCCTGGCAGAGTGAGCTAGAAGTAATAATAATCACAACGGAGGGGTAATACAAGGGCCAGTGGCTCTTAGATCCAGAGACCTAAGCACTGCGAAAAGATTTCTTACTTCCCACTTGCCAATGCAGTCCCTGCTGCCCTGAAGTTAGACTCCATGTCCCTAAGTACCTTAAAACTCTGATTTTCTGGAGAGAGCCCAGCTGCCTTATGGAACACATCCAAGGTAAACAAAACGCATATGTACTCCTCTTCCACTGCCTTTCGTGAGCCTATATATGAGGCAGGTGGAAGCATTAGGGGCAGAGAAAAGAGGATTGCAGCAGCAGCTTGAACAGTGGTTAAGAGTGGAATTAATACCCATAATTATAAACCAAGGGTTGACAGGAACAGCAATTCTCTGTCCTCTGCTCGTCCTTCTTCAGGGGATGCTTTGCTACTGTTGTTTCTGTGCAATAAGAGGCATTGATGACAATGCTTAGAGTACTAACAGGTGAAAACACTTTCTTCCTTTTCAATTTATCTATAGCAATGACACTTTTTTTTTTCCCTTTAAATATGCTCTTCTTAGCCTCTCATTTGTGGAACTGTATGAAAATAAAATTAAATCTAATAGCCAACAACTAAGTGGAGATCAGAAATGCTTTTCAAGAAAGGTGAGTTATCTGTATTAACTCCACTATCTCAAGGACTGTCAAAAAGAGCAATTTGGAGCCCTAACAAGGGTATAACCATTGTTTTACAATGGTGTTTTGTGCCAGTTGTGACTTGGTTTTCATGCCTTTAGTTCTCATAACACATATATACACTCCATGCACTTCAGCATGGGGTGTTCAATGCTCTCTATATGCAACTCTTCCCAAGCACATGAAGCCAAATACTGTGCCTTTTCTCTGAAAAAGGAGGCACCATGGCTACCACAAAGCTTCTTCATTGCTCCTGTGGACCTCTGGAGATGACTCACTCCACCATACTCCAAAACCAATAATCCCTATCAATTAAGTTAAATTGAAATTTGGAGAACAATAAAGTCATGGATAACATTGAGCTGAGCTATTCTACTTCCACCCAGCAGATATCAATGGTAGACACCTATTTCACTGTTGCTGATACGCCCACTCAGCAGCTACCTGAAGTGTTATACACACAACCAACTCTTTACAATACAAATTTGAATTCAGCAAGAGAGACTGAGTATTCACCACCAGACCCTCCTGATTTTTTTTTTATCTGTCTAAAACAATGGCACCCAGCCTGCTGTTTGCAATAAAGAAGTTGCCTGAAAGATCCTTACTGCTTGTAAGTTGGGCTCCTCCTGTGAGAGGTCCTGTGTTTGCACGCACCTGTGCAATGCTGACACACCAAGCAAGGCTGGGCAGTCCACATATTTCTATCCAATTTCATGCTTCCTGTACCAGCACCTGGCCAGCTATGATTGTATCTACCTGTCTTGGTTTTTTTAAGAGAGCTGCCAGAGGTTTTACACTGGACCGCAGTTAATGCAAACTGATTCATAGCTCGTAAAGTAGACTCCAGATATGCTAACAGCATGGAGAAGTCTCATATTGAAGGGGTACTGACACTCATGGTATCATTGGCGTTAATACACATCTTGACAAATCATTTGCAAATTGTCTCTGAACTACATTATCACCTTCTATACACTCCCTCATAGGGTGGACCAGACTCAGGAGCTAGGAAAGCACCCCAGCAGTCAGGATGCAGAAATGAGGGCTCTAACGGCCACAACATGTTCGTAGCATGAAAAAACAGGTTCCTTTCCAGTTATTTTAACATTATTAAGAAAGTCTACACTGTTTCATCTGCCTCCTAAAGGCACCAGCGACAGTGCCATGCCCAAATCCTTCCTTACCTCCTGTACCATTTCACAGTACAGATTGTATGCAACAAATTTCTAGCTACCCTTGCTGAACAAGTTTGAAATAGCGATGGCAGCCTTCTCTTTTGTTTGCTATTGTAGCTCACGATAAAAATACCATCTTCTATATTCACAGACTGCCATCGGTACTTAATAGTACTGGCAGCTCTGAAAAAAACACATTAGCATCCCTAGCATTTTCCACCCCCCTCCGCGAAGGCTTTTTGGTTTATCTAGTGGGTATCTGCCTCTCCCCGTTTTGCTTTGCTTTCTGCCTTTTCAATTTATCTACAGAGAGACGCAACAAGAGCGCAAACTGCCCCACAGCAGCTGCCCGATCCCTCAGTCCCTGCCTAGCTGCAAAGTATTCCCACTCCCAAGGTAAAACCGGAGGAGGTTTGTACACCTAACAGCACCTTGCTTTCCACCTGCCGGGTAAGGAGGGTGCGGGGGGACAGGCCTCGCCGTGGCACCGGGGCTTGCTTCGCCACCCCGGGGCCGACTCCGCAGGGAGCACCTGCGCCTCACCCGCTCCCACCGGCACCCAAAGGGCATCTTGTTCCGCCCTCGTCACCCCTCAGGCCGGCGGAGCGCTGCCGGCGACCGCCCTGTGGCGACCGCGTCGACCCCGGCCTGGCCTGGCCTGACCTGAGGGGAACGGCCGTGCCAACCGACACCGGCACCGGGGCAGCCCCGGCACCGGAGCAAGGCAAGGCAGGGGAGGAGAGGTGAGGGGAGGGAAGGGGCGTCCCCTCCGCGGTCACTCACGTTCCGCTGGCGAGAGGCCGCGGGCAGGAGCGGCAGCGCCATGACCGCCCCGGCCCGCCGGGAGCCCCGCGCCGCTGGGGGCGCCGTTGCCTGGAGACCGGCCGGTGACGTCACGGGGGGCGGGGCCGAGCCACGCCCTCCCGGCCCGGCC